AAAAAAAAAAAAAAGCCTGAAATATGTACTCTCTGTCCCCCTACAGAAAAAAAATTTTTTTCCAATCTAGTTATTCACTGCAATATCAACACTGAAGTATTTGGGGTTTGGGGGGTTGTTTGTTTTTGTAGTACTGGGGACTGTACCAGGGAGCAGTCAATTATACACCTGCCTCTTACTCTTTTTTTTTTTTTTTCTTCTCTCTGCCCTTGTAGTTGGAGAGCCCCCAGTTTGTAGCTCGGCACATGACCACCTACATTTCCCAGCATCCTTTGCAACCAGCTATACCTTGTGATGAGCCTTGCCTAATGGAATATAAATGGTTCATACTCTATTATTCTTTTTACTGGCCTCCACTCTGCCACCAGGAAAACAAACAAATGTGGGCACACTTTAGGAAGGCAGGACAGCTGGCCAGGAACTTGAAATCTTAAAGAATGTAGACCCTATGTATAGACTTACTAGGAAAATAAATTTCTTTTTTTGGTAAGGGCATTGTTTTTGTTTTGGTATCTGTACTCACAAGAAATCCAACCTAGTAGGAATACTTTATTTAGGGACTGGAACTCTCTGACTTTTTGTGGGGGTTTTTTATTTTGTTTTGTTTTTGAGACAGGGTCTTGCTTTGTATTTCAGACTGGCCTCAAACTCCAGGCAATCCTCCTGTCTCAGCCTCCTGATTGCCAGGATTGCAGGCGTGTGCCACCATGCCTGAATCTGACTTTTTTTTTTTTTTTTTTTGGTACTGGGGAAACTCAGGGCTTTCTCCCTGAGCTACCTCTCCAAAGTTTGTTTGTTTGTTTGTTTGTTTTAAAATTTGAGGCAAAGTCTCACTAAGTCTCTAAATTGTCTAAACTGTGTTCAAATTTATTATCCTCCTGCCTCAGCCTCTCAGATGCTGGGATTATAGGCATGTGCAATCATGCCCAGCTTCTGCTTTGATTATTGGAGGGAACATTCTACTTCTGTTAAATTAATGGTTACTTTTCTTTTTTCAGTACCGGGAATTGAACTCAGGATCTTTGACTTGTCAGGCAGGCATGGGCACCGCTGAGCTATGTCCCTGGCCCTAATGGTTACTTTTAAATGGTCAGTGAAGTCTAAAGTTAATCAACTTAGGACGACAACAACACACCAGAGATGCAGCTCAGTGGCACCTTACCTTCCTGGGAAGTGCAAGGTCCTGAGTTCAATCCCCAGTACTTGGGGGAAAAAATGATAAAAGACAATAAGAAAGGATTTCCACATGCCCAAAGCATCCTCTCTTCCACTTTATTTTTGTCTCTGGGATTTGTTTCCACTCAGGTCTGTAAATATCTGCTCCCTCACACCTTCTCAGGATGGTTGGTGGGGATATATATTTCATTCCCCTTTCCAGAAACAGAGTGGCCCTTTGAGGCCCCAGTATGTATCGAGATTTGTTTCTTGCTGCCTAGACTCTGTGGGTCTCTGCTATTCATAGGTGCTTGAGCCCAGGCCCACAAGCCTTTATCCAGATCTGAAACCATGTGGGTTCAGCACCTTCCTACAAGCCCAGCTTTGGTCTTTGGGATCTAGGCTTTTCCCTTTCAAGTTCACTTTTTTAAAGTTTTATGCACAAGTAATGGGAGGGGTCTGGATACCCTCTCAACTCACTGTGTTACTATGGATCCCCCCAAAATTGCCCTGACTTGAATATTGCCAGCCCCAGGGAACTCCCTACCTCCCAAGGGTGCAGACAGAGCACAGCTTTTCTCCAGACTGCTCAAGCAGGGGATTGCGAAGATGAAGATAGATGGGTGACCTCACAGACTCTCCAGCGAGATGCTGCCGGGGATAGAAGTCTTCTGCAGAAGTAAGCTAGGTCTCTGCTATCCTGAAACCTCTTCGAGGAGTAGATGCAGCCTGGGTCCTGTTTGTAGCTCAGGCCACAGGAGCAACAGGGTCTCCCTGCTGGTGCCTCAGTGGGTGGACAACATCATCACAAACTCTGGGGAGGAGAGGGTCAAAGTTTGGGCCAGTCCAGGTCAGGGATAGCAGGAGGTGCTGGCCTTGTGTGCTGGGGTGCTGGAGGGAGGAGGGTCCGGGAGCACACTCACCATCAAAGTCTATGGTGCCGTCACCATTGAGGTCTATGTCTCCGAGCATCTCCTCCAGCTCAGTGCCCTCCAGTGGTTCCCCTAGGAGAGCTGGTGCTGCCTGCTGCAGCTCTGCCACTGTGATTCGTCCATCCCTGTCCCTGTCAAACTAGGAACCAGGCAGGGCTCAGCCCATCCCACCCCAAGTTGCCTCTGTGCCCAGCCCCTTCTTGCCACTCACTGCCTACAAGCAAGATGCTCCCAAACCCATTCTGTCTCAAACATCCCATGCCAAGACGGTGCCTCCCGTTCCAGAAGTGTCCCTGGTTGATGTACCAACTGGGAAGGAGCTCAACTCTTCCCGCCCATTCCCAGGCCCTCTGGAGAGCAGAGGCCCCATCTCCCAGCAAGGATGCTCTCTAGCCCTGCCCACTGCCCACCCCCACCACTCACCACACCTCTCGGAAGGCGATGCGCAGCTCCCGCACCCCCAGCATGTGTGCTGTCTCCTCCCTCAGCTTTGGGCCTATCATTTCCACGAACTCCTCAAAGTCCACAAAGCCACCCACTGTGGGCCCCAGGGAGGCAACAAATGAAGGCAAATGAAGGTCACAAATGGAGGCAACTCGCCCCTGTACCCATCTTGCTCTGCATCCGGGAAGACACACCTTTGACTCCACCCACAGCGGAGGGGGAGGCCTGAATCCCAAACCCAGGGCTGCTGTGGGGCTGAGGATTGTTCTGCTCTCAGCAGGGGACCAGGTGCGAGAGAAAGAAGCCAGGCTTCAGAGCACACAGCCTAGGTTCAAATCCTGGCTCTGCCAGGATAGGTGTAGCTCCCGGCCTTGTCCTAGGACGGGCCTGAGAACCTACTCTGCAGGTTGCTGTGGGGTTAGAGTTCATGGCCCATTAGGCAGCAGGGAGTGGTCTTCAGACACAGCCCCATGTGGTCAATCTGTAAAGCACCAGTGGCCAGAAAGCAGCTTTGGGGGAAAGAGAAGGAGCCCAACACCAGATAGGCACAGCAACTGTAAACTTTGTGTCCATTTTAGAAATTGTGAGAAAGACCACGGGTGTTCCAGAAGGAAGGGAATATGATATTTGCCTCAGGACAAACCAGCCAATGCTAACCGCTCAAGAGTTGCTCAGCACTTAGGCCAGGGTTCTGTTCTCCAGACCTCACTGAGCCTCTAGAGACTGGATCCCTGGTGACTCCACCCAAGGCAGCCGCCACCAGGGCATAGGGAGCGAGGCACAGTGAGAGAGAAGAGAGACCTTCAGTGAGGAGTTAGAGGCAAGTTAGAGCTAGTGGCCAGGGAGGCAGGTGGAAGGGCTGCAGGCATGCAAAGACCAGACCCGTTTTCCAAGGCCAGGTCGCTAAACCAAGCCCAAGGGCCACTTCTGGATCACCCTGCTGCTATCCTTGCCCACCTCACCACATCAACAGGCTGGAGCTTGGACCCTGCATCTGATGGGACCAATGTCCTGCCAGTAACCCCCAACTGTCACTCTCTTGCTTTCACCATCACCACTAAATGATTCCCAGAGGTCCCCGACTGCCACCACTTAGCGAACCCCCTGAACCAGGAGTGTGCCCAGGCACTGAGAGGACCAGGGACAGCCTACCCCACCCCTATGCCCACAGCTAGTCCACTACCACCCCAGCCACCCTGCAGGGCTCAATCACTGACTACGCATCTTCACATGCTGAGAAAGCTCGATAAGCTCCATCTCGGTGGGCATGTGGCCCAGCGTCCGCATGCAGTCGCCCAGCTCCCGGTAGCTGATGTAGCCATCCTGATCAGTGTCAAAATCCTCAAAGGCAGCCTGCAGCTCTGAGGGGGAGGAAGGTCAAGCCGTGTGGCCAGGTCCAGGGACACCTCCAAGCCCCCAGAAGCACTGACAGCCACTCACCCTCCAGCTCATCGGGGCCCAGCTCACGGTCCTGTGGGAAAATAATCCAGCATGTCCCCAAGGCCAACCCCAGCTCTGTCCTTCCTCCTCCAGCCCTGCCTAGGCTGGCCTGTGAAGGGCAGGCAAAGTCCCACGGGCCCCCAGAGCAGTGAGAGTCACAGGAGCTCTCAGAGTGCCCAGGTGCAAGGCCTGGCTCTGCCCCCACAGCTCTGGCTCCCCTAACCTAGCCAGAAGGGGCAGTGGACTGGGATACTTAGGGGCAGCAGGGTTGAGACTGGGGAAGGGATTTCAATCCCTCCCCTCACCCAGCCCAGCCCAGCCCCCCCCCACCTTCCCAAACAAGCGGTTGAGCAGGGGTCCGTGTGCCCTCCGAGCAGCGTTCTCCTGGGAGTCAGAACGACGCCGATGGGACTGGCGGAGAAAGGCTGGCCTAGGTGGGACTGCGGATGGCTTCCCATTGCTCTCTTTGTTCCTTGAAGGGTGTCTGCTGCTCCCTGGAGCCTCACGGTCCTGGGCAAGTGTTTGCTCCCCATCGTTGACCTTCTGGGACCCTCGAGGCCACTTTTGCCTCTTGCTCTTCCTCCTGATCAAAAGGGGCCCCTCGGCACCGCTGTCTGGAGTCACCACCTCTGCAGGGGGTTGATGGGAGCTGGGGCCTGGGCCTGGGCTATGCTCTGTGGCCATGTGGGGAGAGACAACCAGGCTTGAGGCTGCTGCTCCCCTGAGCACCTTTGGCTCCTGGGCGCCACAAAGCTGCTTATGTGTCCAGTCTTGGAGGTGATTCCTGGGATCAGGCCCTGAGAGGGGTTAGGGTGAGTGAGGTAGGCAGACCAGGACCTAATCCCTGGCTCTGCCCTAAAATCGCCAGGGCCAAGCCACATGGATCACCAGAACTGTCCTCAGTAGCAAAGGGCACCAGGACACTGTGGCTGCCATGAGCTTCAGACTCCAGCTCCGCCACTCTTTAGCTGAGAGATCCAGTCAGTTCTCCAAGTCTCAGTTTTCTCGTCTATAAAATGGGGGTACATGGCTGAACATTTGCTGTGTGATAGGTAGAACTCAGCTGAGCGGAGGGGACCAAGGAAGACACCTCAGGTGGGGGATGAGTGTGGGCCTCTTGCAGCCCAGCTCCAGTCCCCATGGGGTGACATCTTGGTGGGGCAGAAGGCCTGCAAGACTGGGGAGGAGGCCACGTCAGAAGTATTGAATGCTGACCGAGAGGCAGGGGGTGATGTCAGAGGAGGTGGACCCTGGGGAGCACACAGCCTGCTCTGAGCCTGCTCTGAGCCCATATGAAGGGCTCGGCTGTCTGACCCAGTGAGCCTGGCGGGCCCTGACTGGTCACTCGGCCCTACTCGGCCAGGGTTAGGGTTTCCCAGCGAGCAGCCCTATGAATGATTGATGTCGGCTCAGCTTGGGTTTCCTGCCCGGCCGTCTTTATGTCTCCGGGTGCCATGCTGCAGGCCCCTGTAGGGAGCCAGGTGGGCGACTGGGCCACGGGGCAGGCCAGCACACCCTGCTCCTTCTAGCCTTCGGCCTGTGCCTCAAGGTAAGCCAGGTGTCACCCTGGGGCCCGGGAGAGGGTGCCCAGGGCTCTGATTCAGGGAGGTCTGCCAGACTGAGAGCCTGAGGGTGGGGAGGCCCTGGGGCTCATGGCCTGTGGCTGCAGCCATGGGCCCAGGCAGGATCCAGCCCTGCTGGGGCATCATGTCACTTTCCTAATTGTGCTGCCAGGGCTGCCTCTACCCTCAGACAGACACTGGACGGGGGAAGGTGGGGTGGATATAGTAGACCCCTTTGGGTCCCAGACCTGGGTGGTCCTAAACTGCCTCACTCTCATCGCGCTGGCTCCCCTCCCCCTTTCTCCATTTAGTAGCCCTGGGGGATAAATAGGGGAACCTGTGCCAAGCTGCAGGGAGCAGGAAAGGGCCACAGGTGAGCTACAGAAGCAAGAGCTGCTCCCCATCAGGCCACTGGCCACAGCTCACCTGAATGTCTAAGCTGCACCCTCCAACAGGCCAGAGCCTCCTGCTGCCAGTCCCCACTCAGACTCTGAGACCCAGAGCCTTCCCCTCTTAGAATTTTAAACATTTGAACCCATCAGTCATAAAGGGGTTTTATGAAGAACTGGTTTTCTATTTACTTATGTATTTGAGACAGTGTCTCCCTAAGTAGTTCAGGCTGACCTTGAACTCACTTGTCCAAAATGGCCTTGAACCTCTGGCAATCCTGCTTCAGCCTCCCAAGTGCTGGGATTACAAGTGTGTGTCATCACTCCCGGCTTTTTATTTGTTTTGTTTGTTTGTTTGTTTGTTTTTGGTTTTTTGAGACATGGTCTCACTATGTAGTTGAAACTGATCTGGAACTCACTCTGTAGCCCAGGCGCTGGTCTCGAACTCACAGTGATCCTCCTGCCTCAGCCTCCCGAGCGCTGGGATTACAGGCGTGAGCCAAGTCTCGAACTCAGTGATCCTCCTGCCTCAGCCTCCCGAGCGCTGGGATTACAGGCGTGAGCCACCTCGCCCAGATGTTTGTTTGTTTGTTTGTTTGGTAACGGGAATCAAACTCAGAATTTTGCGTTTGCTTGTCAGACAGGCAGCGGACCATGGAGCTAAATCTCCGGTCCTTATTTGCTTTTTTGAGAGAGGGTCTCATTATGCAGTTCAGGCTGGTCCTGAGTTTACTACATAGCCCAAATTTGCCTTGAACTCACAGAGATTCTCCTGCCTTAGTCTCCAGAGTGCTGGGATTGCAGGTGTGCACCACCATGCCTGGCTCCGAGTGGTTTTCAAACTGTATTCCCTGGAGCCCTAAGGGTGCTCTCCTGGCCTTTAATCTGAGCACCCCCTTTTAGTTCACATAGAAGTTCCATTACACTTTAGTTAAACAAGATTCACAAGCTTTACCAATATGTTTTAAAGTCTCCAGTTTAGTCTACTTAGACACAGATTTTATGTGGCAGAATGGCTAACTCTAGGTCTGCGTCCTGGAACTGACCTTCCTACTTATGACCTTAAGCAAGTCACTGATTCAGTGAGACTTCTTCTCCTCACCTATAAAATGGGTTGTAGGAGGACTACATGAGATCATCTATTTAAAGTCCTAGCACAAAAAAAAAAAAAAAAAAAAAAAAAAGCCCAGTGTGACGGCACACGCCTGTAATCCCAGCACTAGGGAGGCTAGGCAGGAAGAATGCTATGGGTTCTAGGCCAGCCTGGGCTACATAGTGAGTTCAAGATCAGCCTAAACTACATAGCAAAAAAGGTCCCTCGTGCAGTACAACTACCTAAAAGGTGACAATAATGGCCCGAAAAGAGACAGTGATTTGCCTGGAGATGCAATGCACCTTCTCCTTCATACTCAGTCATTCCTGCATTCATTAATTCACCAGGCACCCAGTCCATGTCCAGCAGTATACTGGGGATCCCAAGTGGACACTGCTATGGAAGCCAGCTTGGGCGCTGCTGGCCACAGGCCCCACACAGAGCTTGATGATGAGGACTACTACCCTCAGGGCGGCTGGGACACAGCATTCCTTGTGGCCCTGCTGCTCCTGGGGCTGCCAGCTAATGGGCTGATGGCATGGCTGGCTGGCTCACAAGCCCGGCATGGGGCGGGCACAAGGCTGGCCCTGCTTCTTCTCAGCCTAGCTCTCTCCGACTTTTTGTTCCTGGTGGCAGCGTCCTTTCAGATCTTGGAGATCCAGCATGGAGGGCACTGGCCGCTGGGGACAGCTGCCTGCCGCTTCTACTACTTCCTGTGGGGTGTGTCCTACTCCTCTGGCCTCTTCCTGTTGGCAGCTCTCAGCCTGGACCGCTGCCTGCTGGCACTGTGCCCACGCTCTTACCCTGGGCGCCGCCCAGCCCGCCTACCCCTCTGGGTCTGTGCAGGGGTCTGGGTGCTGGCCACGCTCTTCAGTGTGCCATGGCTGGTCTTCCCCGAGGCCATCACCTGGTGGTATGACCTGGTCATTTGCCTGGACTTCTGGGACAGTGAGGAGCTGCCCCTGCGAATGCTCGAGATCCTGGGTGGCTTCCTGCCATTCCTCCTATTGTTCATCTGCCATGTGCTCACCCAGGCTGCAGCTTGCCGGATCTGTTGCCGCCACCAGCCTCAGCCCTCAGCCTGCTATGGCTTCGCTCGTGTGGCTAAGACCATTTTGTCAGCCTATGTGGTCCTGCGACTGCCTTACCAGCTGGCACAGCTGCTCTACCTGGCCTTCCTGTGGGACATCTACCCTGGCTACCTGCTCTGGGAGGCCCTTGTCTACTCTGACTACCTGATCTTACTCAACAGCTGCCTGAGCCCCTTCCTCTGCCTAATGGCCAGTGCTGACCTTCGTGCCCTACTGCGCACCATGCTTTCCTCCTTCTCTGCAGCTCTCTGTGAGGAGCAGCCAGGCAGTCTCTCACCAGCTGAGCCACAAACACAGGTGGCCTCTGAGAGCCCAACTCTAACAGCGGAGGTGCTGCCACCATTGGATGCCGTGGCCCAGCCTCAAGTGAACCCCACGGCCCAGCCACCACTGGATCCCATGGCCCAGCCTCAGGTGAACCCCACGGCCCAGCCACCATTGGATGCCGTGGCCCAGCCTCAGGTGAACCCCACGGCCCAGCCACCATTGGATGCCGTGGCCCAGCCTCAGGTGAACCCCACGGCCCAGCCACCATTGGATGCCGTGGCCCAGCCTCAGGTGAACCCCACGGCCCAGCCACCATTGGATGCCGTGGCCCAGCCTCAGGTGAACCCCACAGCCCAGCCACAGTTGGATGATATGGTCCAGCGACAGTTCAGTGCTGAGGCCCAGTCCCAAGGGCCCTCCAAGCCCTGTGAGGAAGTTTCTTTTAGCCCATCCTTAGATCCTACCCCTGAGGTCCCTGAGAGCTCAGCCAAGCCAGCAATCCCCAAGGGAGAAAGCCCTGGAAGTGCCCCACCAGTGGAGGCCCCCAGTTCAGGCCCCACGTGAGGTTCCAGGAAGCCCAGGCCTGCAGGAGAACCAGCCAGACAGGCAAGAGTTGTAAAGAACATCACTGTTGAAAACCCCACCAAGTCCTTGGGCCTGGGAGAACTTTAGGGGGAAGTGAAACAAAGCAGCCAAAAGTCCCAGAGAGTTTGTCAGTATCCCCCCACCCTGCTCCTGCCACACTCTTCCGTGGTTGCTTCCCAACACACAGTCACCCAATAGCCTCCTGAGCCTGCTGATGGTATCCTGCTGGGTTCTGTCCTCCAGTACCTCAGATAACTCTTCCTGTTGTGCCTCAGTCCTGCTGGAAGAAGATAGTAGGTCAGGCCTGGACACAAGGACAACAAAAAGAAAATCCCTGCAGAGTAATGAGGCCACCAGGAGCCAGCAGCCCTGAGCAGAAGCCAGAGGCTCTAGTGGCCCACAAGCTGGCCTGGCATGGCCAAGACTTCTCCACCAGTCCCCTGTCCCCAGAGGCCAGTCAGGCTGGGGTAAGAGTTTCCTCAGGACGGTGGCTGGAGAAGAGGCAAGAGAGACCAAGCCTGGATTCAAATCTAAGTTTGTGACACCCTGGCTGGGTGACTCGGACAAACTACTTTTGAGTTCCTGTTTTGTGGGCTATTTTGAGGATTTAAATTAGGGGGCATTTGTGGTACCCGACAGGAGCCATGTAACAGGGGATCAGTGAACAGGCGCTCTCTCCATCAGTGGTACACAGGGATGGCCCTTAGGATAGATGGGTGGAGGCAGGTGGGAGAGCCAGTACCTTGGCTCCTGTGACTGGCCCAGGCTGCAAACACCCAGGTGAACTGAGAGAGTACAGTGCCACCTCTGCACCTTATGCGGGAGGGTTAGGCTGACAAGAGACTTTAAAGTCTAATTCCATTGAAGTGTTTGAATAGCATTTACCTGCCCCCCAGCCCTCCCTTGGAGGGCTGCCTAGATGCTCTAGAGGAGCTGCGGGTACAGACTGCACTGGCCCCAGCCTCCCTCTTCTAAGCTTAAGAGCACAGTTAGGAGTTATCCGAGTACAGAGAGCTCTGAGCACCATTGTCCCCAGAAAGGGCACAGGCTCCCAGAGGTCACCAAACATCTATTAGGCAGATCCAGCTCCTTGCCAGCTGCAGATACTGCAGAAAAAAAGAAGTGCTGCGGGCCTGTTCCCCATTTCCTGCCCCTGTGCTTTTTCCGAGCCCATAGTGTCCAAGGCCATGGTTCCTACCCCTCCTCCCCCACAGTCCTTTCACATTAGTTTAGCATTGGGACCTGCAGCAGCTGCAAGATGCCCTCAGCAGGAGGTGTAAATGACAATGGCATTTTATATGCTGCCCTTCCCAAGGTTGTTTCATTGTAAAAGGTGGCAGGCAGTTCAGGCAGCTGGGCGTGGTGCAGTCAGATCTGGGTTCTGGGTCCTACCTTGCTCTCAGCTTTAGTGTTTGTCTCTGTCATTTTGGGATGATATGTCCCTTGCTGGGTAACAGATTGTGGTTATTACTAGAGACAGGAATGGAAAAGGCATGGATTATAGATAGGCATTAAGACAGGTGGGAGTGGGATTTCTGGGCAGATGTGGATTTGTTGAATTCATTCATCTAACAAGTATTTACTGAGTGAGCTGGGGATTTAGTTCAGTGGTTCTGCTGCCTGCCTCGCAAGTATAATGTCCCTAGTTCGATACCCGGTACCCAAATTTTTTTTTTTACTGAGCATATGCTAGACCTGATGCCTCTCTGGCCAGTCTTCTCTTGAAGGAGTTGTTTGTATCTTGGCTCTACTATTCACCAAGTGTGTAAACTTCAGCAAAACTCTTCGTTTCTTTGGTGCTCAGTTTGCCAATCTGTAAAATGGGGCTCATAACTCATGGAGTTCTATGAAGAGCTTGGATCTTTACCAAGTACAGAGTAAGTTCTCAATAATGGTCAGTCCTTAATTTAAGTGTACAGGTGGGCACCCCCAGGCCCAGGCCAAGCATGAGACCAATATAGGGCAGAGCCCACATGGCAGGTAGACTGCCTGCCAGGTTTTATCCTTCTCACCACACTACCTCCTCTCCCTTCACCTTTCGCCATCTTGTTTGTTCTGGCGCACGATCCCAAAGGACAGGGCTTGGACTTTCTGCCTCCTTTCTCCCGGCAGGAGTCCCAAAGCTTTTAACATGGCAAGCAGATCAGTGAATAAAACCTCAGAACCAGCCACCTGCCTCACCGAGTAAGCCAGTCCATCTCCAAGGTCCCCAAGGAGAATCCCACCCCATCGTGGGTAACTGCTACACAGGGAAATAGAGCAGGCCCTGAAGCGATCTGCAGGATGAAGAGGAGTTTCCCAGGGTCCCAGAGGAGGTTTATGTTGGAAGAAACAGGGCCATGAAGTCCCCCCACATCACCCCAACACACCAGGCTGTTGCTTTCTAGGAGACTCCCTCCCTGCTTCTCCGGGTGAGAGATCCTTCCCTGTCTTCCAGAGGGGCAGACATTGATTCTGAGAGTTGGGAACATGAACATTTTTAATTCTACATTCAGAGCTGCTGCTTGTTCATTCGCTCAACCTGCACTAAAGGATCACATACAGGCACTGGGTCCCTTTCCGGGAGCTAGGAGAACAGTGGGGGTAAAAGGCAAAATCTTTGCGCTCAATTTGTTGACCTCCTAGCAGGAGAAGCATCTGGTGACCCAGCAGTGATTGAAAACAAGGCAGTGGGAACAAGTAAGGGCCAGAGAGTGACCTGGTGAGAGGGGTGTCAGGGAGAGCCCCAAGGGAGGTGACAGATGAGCAGAGCCCTGGAGTGAGAGTTGAGTCTTTTCAAGACCCAGGTGGAAAGCTTTCAGCCAAAGGGAGGAAACTGAATGCCCTGTCCTCGGGGGTGTATGGGTTTAAAGAAGTTTTCAGGGACCGGAGAGGTCAGTATCACTGGGCCACAGGCAGGGAGAGGACAGTGGGGGTGCGAAGGATGGTGGGTAAGGGTCAGACAGATTAGGAGGAGAGACAAGGCGGCTGTGGATTCTATCTCAGTCAGGGCAGTCACGGGTTGGGCAGGGTTCAGGGAGACAGGGCCACCCAAACCCTTGCCTGTGGCCCAAGTCTGGCTGCATCTGGTTCCCACATTCCTGCCTGGCCAGCCTAGGGCCAGCACTGGGAAGTTCAAGTACGCTGAAGCCAGATGGAAACTGAACACCAGCTGTGTGGCCCCAGGCAAACACCTGCCCTCTCTGAGCCTGTTTCCTCCCAGTGTGGTGAGGGGAGCAAGAGGAGACACACACCCCAGCCCACCTCCAACACAACGCAGGAGCTCCTTTTCTCTCTCCCCTTATCTTTCCGGGAAAGGGACCCTGCTATCACCTCCTGGTCACACAGGGTGGTAGATGAACAAGGAAAGGTATAAGGAGGGAGGCAGTGTCCTGAGCCATCGGCTTAAGAGAAAGGTGGGACCTAAAAGGACACCTAAGACGCCTGGGTGAGATGGGGTGGGTGGATCTGCGGAGGCCAGTCTGGGCTCCTTGTCAGTGAAGGAAGAGGCCTATGGTCTGACCTCCAGGCTTTGAGAAGATGGTACAGGGAGCAAAGGAAGGTGCGATGGATCTGCCCATGGACCCATTTCGGTGTTTAATAAAGATCCTGGCAGGACCCGCGTGTCTCCATCAGGAAGAATGGGACAGCTCGGCCTTTCCCTCCCTCTTTCCAACAATGTCTTACTTATATCCTTATACAAGAGCTTTGACTCTTAGAACTTTAAAACTGTCCAAGTAGACACCACCCGGAGGTAGGGCAGGGACGGTCAAGTGGTGCTTTACGGTTGTGCATTTGGGAGGGGGACTGGCATCATCCCAAACTAGCAGCTCCAGCGGATGCCCCAGTCCTCGCACCTCGCCCAGGGCTACAGCTGCTGCAAAGGAATTTTTCACTTCTTGGGTGAGGGAGCTCCAGTCCCAGCCCGTTTGGGGTGGAGCTCCATTTTAGTCCCGCCCCAGTCCCG